GAACTGTGAAATTTCTAGGACATATGATAACGCCCAAGTGTATCACTCCTTTGCCAGAGATAGTTTCCGCAATTGTGAATTTCCCCAAACCCGAAACTGTGAATGAACTTAAGCGTTTTCTGGCTATGTGCGACTTTTACCGGCGTTTTATTCTGCAAGCTGCAAAACCTCAAGCAGTACTTAATATGTACCTAAAGGGAGCGACAAAAAACGACAAAAGACCAATCGAATGGATGGAAGTAACCACAAATGCATTTGAGAAATGTAGAAAAACCTGTCAGGTGCGACGATCTTGTACCATCCTTCATCAGAGGCACCACTCGCAATTGTAGTTGATGCTTCTGACACAGCTATGGGTGCAGCTCTTCACGAACAAGTTGAAAAGGATGGCAACCTCTTGCTTTTTACTAAAAAAAAAAAACTATGTCCAACACAACAGAGATACAGTGCACCACAGAGCACTCCTTCACCACTGTAATGGTGTCGTTCAATGATGTTTTCTTGGTGGTAACGGGTACCTGGAGCTCTCCATATGAAATTCCGGTGAGAATCAGACTGCAAGCTAAACCTGGATTAGTTGGAAAACATCACACAAGCCCACTGTTGCGGTGTCCACGATGCATGCTCTTTACTCCATGCTAACCGCAGGCGACAGTGAGTTGGAGTAAGTGGAACGCATCTGAAAGGTCTACGAGCATATTAGACCAATCTGCCCTAAGCATCTGTATACAGTCTGCCTTGAAATTGTCATACCAGTGGCTGAAGAGAGCTGACAAGGCAGGTCTGAGGCTGTGCTTTATCTGTTTCTTTTGGCAGTAACTGCCAAATACCGGTCCTCATTCGGCGTTGTAACTCTGGGGCGACCTGTGCTGTAATGTCTACTCACATTACCATCATCTTGGAATCGTTGCCAAAGCCTGGAGTTGACACTCTGGGCAATTCCAAGTTCGTCTGATACTTCCAGTTGGTTACGCCCATATTCCAGACGGCCGATAATTCTACCACGTAAAAAATCATCCAAATGCGTCCTTTTTGTCATAACTATTTGGTTATTGCACTGAAATGCTTATAAACCACCTGCGAACAATTTTACTTCTTTGCCTGTATTCCTTATATATCACTCTCTTACACTCTCATCATTGTGATGTACCATCGGTGTCATCTGGTTACTTCCTGAAATTTGCATATGATTCTTGAAGATGTGTGTAGTGATTTTACAGGTGATATATTTACTTTAGAGTTCGATTTCCGCGTGACTCCGAATTATCCTTAATTTATGGACATGGGAGTGTAAATTGTAAAAGGATTTTTTTTCTATTAACATTTGGGAGTAAAAAATGTTCTGCAAGTACTGAATTTAAGCAAAAATGTACTGTCAGTCAAGAAGTTGTAGATCATAATTAAAAGTGATTTTTACCTAAGTTAAAACAGACATGATCAATAAACATGGAAACATTTTATGTATAATTAATAGAAATGGAAATAAATTTGAAGTTGGCATCAGCGACTAGGTCACTTAACTATCAAGGATTGATAGAAATGAATAAAAACTTATCAGTTACTGGATAAGAAAATTTAAAATTTCCAAAAATAATTGTGAACTTTGTACAATAGAAAAAATGACATGCACTTCTCATAAAATTGTGAAATTCGAGCGATCTGAAGTTATTTTAGAATTATAGCATATAGATTTCATTGGACCTATTGAGAAGTCAATAGATGGAAGTTGTAATTTTCTAACAGTGGTAGATTATTACAGTAACAATCAGGTATATGATGTTTCATGTTTCTGATTTTAATTGAGAAAAAGAGTGAAACTGCAAGATCATTAAAAAAGCTTATCACTCAAGAAGAAAAACAAGCAAGAAACTAAAGACTTCATAGACAAGAATTCATAGTGATGATAATACAGTGAATTCTTAGCTAAAAGTGTAAAAGGTTTTTTTTTTTTTTTTTTTTTTTTTTTGCAAAAACGGGAATTAAACATAACTTAAACAACTTACACCCTGAAGAGAAAAGGAAAAGCTGAATGTTTTAATCGTACTATAATCAAGACTACTAGAACTATATTAATTGATGCAGAATTGCCCGTAAAATTTTGGAGTGAAAGTGTTAAAGTAGCTGTGCACATGCATAACAGGAGTAACAAAACTGGCAACAAGTTTACACTTTATGAACTATATATAGGAATATAGGAAGCAAGCCTAATATTACTTATCTTAAAAGATTTTAAATTTAAGCTGTTAAATCTGCTGAAAGTCATTTTTGGCTACATGCAGTAATAGAAGAACTGAGTTCAATGGAGTCTGAAGCTTGGAAATTAGTTGAATGACCGATTGATAAGAATTGTATTGAAACCTGTTGGATATTCACTAAAAAGGAGAAAAACAGTAATTTAGAAACAATTTACAAAGCAAGACTGTGAGCAACTCGATATAAGCAAAGAAAAATAATTGACCTTGAAGATGGATTCAGTCCTGTAATGAGATTTGTAACCTTTAGAATTATTGATTGCAGTTTAAAAAACTGCAAAATATGATTTTTCGATGTAAAAAGTGCATGTTTAAATGGGTGCTTGCATAAACCAACTTTCGCCTCTGATGTTGAAGTATGTAGCTGGCTATCAGAACTGTTGAGCACATTCAGTTACTCATTGAACAAAATTCAATAACAGTCTGTTGTGTCTGTAAAGTGCTCATAAGATTTCCAAAGAGAATTCTTAGCATTCAAGTCTCCATAGATAATTATTTCAGAGTCTTCATTTAAGTCAATAACACTATTAATACCATGCAGATAATCATTTAAATCATCACCTGGAGAACAATACATTGAAATAAGAACCATATTTTTATAATTGATTATCATTTTAATTGCCACACTATTTGGAGAGACATTCAAAAGCATTGCTTGTGTCTTATCAAACCAAATAATTGCCGCTCGAGGAAAAGTTTTATCGTTGCTGAATATACGAAATTTCATCAGGATTCCCCCAACTTTATTATCCATGGCATAAGGTTCTTGTAGCAGGGCTATCTATAGCCTTTTTCAATAGCTTTAATGCATAACTGATATGCAGCAGCTTTAGCATGTTGTAAGTTTATTTGAACAATGCTTATGCCCTTATGATTTGTCTTAGCCATAATTCATGTGACTAACTGTCAGATCCATTTGTTGTTTATGACAAAGACAGTTTTTATCTAAGCTTGAATGATCAATGCTAAGCTTCTTATATTTATTTTTTGCTTCTTTATAATTAGTGCATTTGGGAGTTGCTTTACACTCCCAATGTCCAGCTTCAATTACATCTTGCACATATTTGTGCTTCTTGGCATTTTGTTTGAAAATGAATGCCCATTCTTTGAAATCTTAAAATTGTGTTATTTTCAAGAATCCTTTATTTCCAAGGCAGGACCACCTTATATAACTAATTTTCATTAGGTCCCTATATTTCTTTGCATCTGCACTAGCAACCCAGTGTACTTTATTATTTCAACCTTTCATCGAAAAGTTTAATTCAAAGTCACCACCTTCAAAGACCATATTTTGGTCTCTGATCATTATCTTGAGGCCTTCTCGAGACAATTCAGAATCTATGTCACAGATAATAATTTTTGGATCTTCCTTGACACAAGACATTGTACTACCATTTCATTTTTAAATAGCTGATTTTGATTTTCAAACCTCTACATAATGTTTACTTGGTTTTCCTGTACTTTGTATTTGTTGAATGCTTGGGGATTCTCAGAAAGCAGGCATTGTCTTTGAAATCCCCATTTGCAATATTACTGGTCAAGAGGCTGAAACAATGTTTCATGGGATTGGGACTTGAAATGACTGGACTCTTCTGATATAATTTAGGTCTTTTGACATTAAAAAAAAAAAAAAAAAAAAAAAAAAAAAAAAAAAAAAAAAAAAAAAACTCACTGTAGTTAAAAATTAGTTGAGCTGTGTAACATTTGAAAACTATAAACTTTTTTAACTCTGTAGCAAAACCGTAATTTATCTTAGCATCCAAACTCCCAGTGCTTCCATATTTCCTAACACTATACATGCCACTTCTTTTAAAGTTATTAAACCATTCTCTGATTAGCTTGAAGCTCTCTTCATTTTCTGTTGACATATCTGGCAATTTGCTTACGATATTGATGTACAAGGCCTTTTCACAGATCAAGCGTTTGGTCACAGTATCGCCTGTTAGTTGCTTCTCGTTTATCTGTATGAGAAGCAACTTATCTTCCATAACATGTGGCCATTGGTTTGACACTCTCATAACACATTTCACTGCATGTAGCCTCTTTATTTTTTCTTCTTTAATATTAGGCAGATCATTGATATAAACTTATAAAATCTTTTAATGTTGGTTATTCTCATACTTTAATACTTTTCAATGATTTCCATCTTAACTTCCACTGTATTCATACTGCTTTCATTATTAAGCTTTTCCTTCTTAGGGGACATTGTTGCTGTATAATTATGAAAGAACCATCACAATACTTGAATACACTTAAAAGTTAAAAAAAAAAAAAAAAAAGGATTAACTAGCAAAAGCATGGCCCCAGTACTAATTATGTTGACTGTATAAGTGAGGCATGTAGACTGAAAGAGACCATAACCCGCAATCCTCTAGTAAGGGAGAGGAAAACTATCAGCTCTGGGGTAATCATGTGATGCTCAGTAGACAAAGCATATTTGTATTATTCATATTGCAAAACATTTCTCATTTATCAAGTTAAAATTTATAAATAATTTCTGCACATCTTGTAAAACACTCACATACTGAGTTCCTTGCAATCTAAAGTTTCACTGTGTAGCATTTGCTGGTTCAAAATGGTTAAAATAAATTGTTTTCTACAGACTGCATTTATATATGAATTATTTTTCCTGTGTAGAAATTTTGCATCCATGAATAAATTGGCATGCATCAGTTTATGTATATATATATATATATGAATTTTATACACTTGTTTCATTCCTTAACATTCTATTTTGTTCATTTATAGATTTTTATTGATCGTGATCCAAAGTTGTTCAATATCATTTTAAATTTTATGAGAACAAAAGTTATTGATCTCAGGTAAATAATTTGCATATTCATGTTTTTAGGTCTATGTAATAATGTTTAGTATATATGATATTTGAAAAAGAACGACCTGATTTTAAAATCTTGTACTTGAATGGCTATGGTGTAGTTTCATAATTTCATGTGTCTGTTGCTAGATTCCATCACCATTGCCAAAGCAGATATTAATCTTTGCTGTACACAAGATGGCATCTATGCAACGTGATCTGTTAGTTAAAAAGAACATTTATCTTAGTATTGGGATTTCAAGAAACTGTGCTAATGTAGGGGAAAGAGCCAAGGGTATCTATGCAATTCAGAAGGAAATGTTCAACTAAGTCAAGAGGCATTTCAGCGAAACTAACAAATTTGAACTGGTTTTGCTTGGCAAGAATTTGAGAAGTCATGACTGCCATGTGTTAAGATGATATTTGCTTATAAAAGGCAATACAGATTGCAAAGGGTACAAGCCTTCATATAGGTGACAGAAGAAAAAGAACCGAATTTGTTGTATATTTTTACATGAGCTATAGGACAACACCGTACCATGGCTGATTTTTATTCATCTAAATGATAAAGTTTCATCCAAGTATTTGCATATGGTGACTTCCATATCGGATTTATCAAAAATTACTATGTTTTGTGCATGTTGTGAGAAAGATGTATATTCTTTTCTTGGCTGGAAATGCTGTAGGACTGGCTTTTCTCACATCTGGATGAAGACTATGAAGATTTCGTTTTTCAGCCAGTGGGGCTTCCACTACATTGGTGCAACCAAGGTAGCCATTTCTAAGTGAAATGATTCCTCAACACAGTACAAGGTGCATGGGGCTAAAGACTTAGCACTGCAGTCTTAGCTCCCAGTATCTTCAGACATTATACCACATGACTTTTTCTTGTGTAAAACATGTGTAAAACTTGTGTAAAATATGTAAAACAATATGGTTTTGTTTTATCATTTGTCATTTTAAATGAGCTAAAAAGCAGAATTACAGAGTAATCAATATCTGTGAAGAAAGGCATTCTGAGATGCATGTGGAAGGAATTCAGCTATTGTCTTAATTTTGTCCAGGGTGAGAGTACATAGAACATTTTTAACTATGGAGAGCAAAAAGAGTTTATAATTTAATTTGTATAACCTATTTTCATTATTCAATGTAATTATTTGAAATTAAGCTTTTCTTTTTTAAAAAGCCTCTTATACTGTATAAAGTTAGTCAAAATATTCATTAGATTGGCAACAATATTTTATAAAATAAGATATTTTTTGAACTTCGTACAAGTTTGAGTTTTATGTAAAAATTTGTACAATCTAATTTCCCTCCCCCTAAATTTAGATTTTGCATTGGTGTGCATTCCCCACTACATTTTTAATTTATTATTTAATTTAGTCTTCAATTTCTATAGCATTTCACATTCACACAAAAATGTGTTATTTTTCTTGGTATCAAATTCAAAATTGCTTTAAAAAAATCACACACACACACACAAAATAATTACTGTACTTGAGGTAAGCTTCCCATCTTGTGTCATTAAGGGATCCAGCATATATACCTGTTATTTTCCCTATGCCGGAGTTATGTTAAATTATTTCAATTTCTTTGTAGACACTTGATTATACATAGGTAGTGTTTCAAAGCTCCGAAGAGGATTATTATTACTTGCTAAGATTACAAATTAGTCATTTTTATTTTGAGCATTTTTTATTGTAATGCTTGGAAAATTTCAAATGTAAAATTTATAATGTTAAAAGGGAAAAAAAAAAGAGTTATTTTAAAATAGTTATGAATACTTTGTTTTTCAAACAAATTGTCTATCTGCTTTCTCATAAGGAGTTGAGTATGAAAAATAATTAAATGCATTAGAAAGGATAGTTTGGAGAAATAACTATTTCGATGCTAAAGATAAGGCAGTCTGATATTCTTACACCTCTACTGTTTATCAGTAACAAGTATATTCTGACAAAATATTCAAAAAGTGTATGTCATCTTAAATTATATATCTTGTTTATAATTCACATTCTTTTCTGTGATATAAAATTGTAATTATAGCACAATCAGTTATTAAACAATCTGATAGCCGGAAACGCCTGACCCTTTTATTAGAGTATTGAAAATGGAGTTTTAGTGCATAAGTCTTTTATCTCTAAAAGCAGCATTACATCTTATTTGCAACAAAGATGTCATTTTGAAAAAAAGAAAATAGTATTTGAAGCCCTTTATTTGTATTACCAGTTTCCACGAAATGTCATTTTGTATTAACTGGATTATGTTCTGCAACTTTTAATGTTTTTTTTTTTCTTGTATTTATCGTAATTTTATAGATAGCGATGCTCATGGTCATATCTCAGCCCACCAGTAGCTGAACTGAAAGTGTGTTAAACACTGGTAATCCAGCATGTGTTGAAATCTAGGTGGATGAGGTGGCTTCACAGGAGTATTTGTGGTTTTTCCATGTGAATATAAACCCTTAAAAATTCCTTTAAAAATTTCCCTTTAAAAGTCCTTCATAGAAACACTCTCAGACAGATTGTCCTTGTGTGTGTTGCTATAATTAAAAAAAAGCAAAATTATTAATTATATATCTGAGAGCATACAAGCACTTTTCATATGCCACTTTTCTACTTCCATAACTGTTTGGATGACATAAGCCTTCAATGGGGGAAACACCTTTATTGTTATTCTTTGATGTTTTAAAGGAAATATATATATATATATATATATATATATATATAGTTAACACTTATTTTGTGAATATAAGAATAGCAGTCATATAAGTTTGGTGACTGCAGAAAGAGTAAGTAAAGAAATTTAGTTTTATTTATGAAATTTCATCATTATAGTTTAATTGTCCTTTGAGGTGTAGTTTAAGATGCTATTTGAAATATTATATTCAACATGCTGTGCTTTAAAATTTTTTGTTCTATATATGTATCTATCTGCTTTAGCTGATAATATTTTGTTTTCATATGGTTTTTATTAAAATATTTTGATTGTATATTTATAGTGATGTTGACATCAGTACTTTGAGACATGAAGCTGAATTCTATGGTATATCACCATTAGGTATGTTTTTCTTGTAAATGTATATTATGTAAGTTTGTGAAATGAATTCAGATTTGTTATACTGTTGATGCTCATTAATAATCATTCCATTGCAGTGACTTGCACGAAATGTTCCCAGCTGATTACAATTTATTAAATCTGTTTTACTGTAGTGATTACTTATTAAAACAGCCTCTTTCTGTAGGATTGAAGGGTTCATTATAATAAGCATCAACTGTGTTTTATGAAATTCTTATGATTCTTCTTGAAGAGCAGTAGTGCCTGCTCAAATTCTTATGATAGTGTTACTTTCAAACTTAAATGCATTTCTTCTTTTTTTTTTTTTTTTTTTCTTTTTTCTTTTTTCTTTTTCTTTTTTTTTTTTTTTTTTTTTTTTTGATACCAGAAATACCTTTATAAATTCTACTTTTAAGAATATATCTCTATTCATCAGTGGTGTGACTAGAAGCACTCTCGACGTGCATTCGAGAAGTCAAAGGTCCGAGTCCCGGGAACAGCACTACATTTTTCACTTATATTATTTAATTTAGTCTATTGAGAGTGTAGAATTAGCCAAAAATAGATCAGCAACAGGAAGACCTAGTAAATTCAGCATTCAAAAACCATTGCATGGAGATAGTAGACATTTTATTGTAAAGTCCGTTGATAACAAAAGACTTTGTTGTAAAGAGTACCATAGCCAGACTGTTTATAGATGCAAAGTATGTAATGTAGCTTTACATCGTGATTATAATCAAGCTTTTCATGCTTGAATCTTTCAATTGAAATAATCTGTATTTGTAAAAGAAATATAATGTATATTTAATATTAAATTAATTACAAGTAAAGTGATTTGTAGATTTATAAAACGTTATACTGCTAAAAAGTAATCCTGCTCTCCTCTCAAAAGAAACATCGCACGAGTACAATCCTACTCACTAATTATCCGTAGTCTTATTCTGCTGACGTTGCGCGAACGCAACACTGGCGTTTTCCACAGGTAAGCGCATTTTTTTTAAAATTTTCAATATAAATTTATGTTATAAATGCTTAATTTAATATTTGTTATTATTTTCATGAGAAAAGAAACATTCCTTGTAGTTTTGGCGGTTAATGGGTTAACTTGTTTTGCTATGCAGATTAGCAAAATAAATTAAAAATTTGCTTACATTATGGACATAAAAGTGGACACTAGGACGGTAGCTTTTTGTATATATTAGAAAATAATTTGCATAAGGATGCAAAGCCCAAGGTACAACTATGAACATTTTCATAATTGTGATATTTTGAACATGGGTTGACTCAAATAAAAGTATTGCCATCATTATGAAGCATTTCTCCAATAGTAAATGGTATTTAAATAACACCATTGGTTATTGTATGTTCTTTGCAACAACAGTTATCAAATCTTCAGTTACATATAATAATCTCTGATATATGCATTTTTATGAGACTGAAATCACACTTAATCTGTAATATTTTCATGAGATAAGATTACTTTATAATACAGAAAGATACAATAAATCAAGCTGGGTCTTTATAATAGAAATGAGCAAATTTTCAAATATATATATATATAGATAGATATATATATATATAATATTTGATTTTACTTAAATATTAACAAATTACTTTAAAGTACATTAATGAACCTATTGAACATAGCCAAAGAGAAACATTTCGCGTAGCTTCATGATCATTTTACAAAAAGAGCATTCAGTTAACATGCAGTTCTCCATATTACATGAAATGTATGAACAGGAAATATTTTGACTTAATTTTTAGACAAGCAAATGTTTTCTGTTTTTAAAATTGGCCTATAATGCACTAGAACAAAAAGAATACCTTATAAAAATACACATTGTGGTTTAAAATTTTGTCTAAATATGTCAAGTTAGTTTTACAGATATCAGAGTGAATTATTTTAATTAAATGCAAAGAGAGGTATGTACTAAATTAGCAGCATGACAAATAGCGCATTTTGCTATAGAAAAGGTCTAGAATGAAATATGATAGCAAAATGTAAGCTTTTCATGTACTAAAATAATTTAAGGATAAAGAAGTCTATACAAATCAAAGCATGTTTTAAAATGCTATAGTTAAAAGCATAGAAACTAAAATTAATTTTCAGTTTCAAGTTAAATTCGCTTAAGGGCGCATTCATTCTTGTTTGCCAAGAATTATTAGTGCAAAATTATAATAAAATTTTACACCTAAGATGTGCCAGAACTGCTTGCTTAAAAATTTATCTTATGAGGTTAAACAGAATGTAAATTCAAGAGCCTAATACTATTTGAACTAATACAAATCGATGATCTAGTACATGATGATGACTAAAACATTCTGGCTGTTTGATTTAAAATAAAAGTTTAAAATAATTTAAATTACTACATTTATGATGTTTTATGGTTAACATTATCTTTTGTTTATGTAAGTACTAAAAACATATTTAATACAGGAAATTTTATGCATTAAATTATTAGTCATATATACGGCTCTTTTACACATTTCAATAAACCAATACACAATTAAAACTATTATTATCAATATATTCTTCCAGAATCAGAATACAAATTACAAATCTTTAATTAAGATAACAATGGCATATCAGTTTGCAATATAAAATATTTTATGTCTACATTCATGAGCATTTTCAACAAAATAAGAAAAGAAACAAAAAGATGAATAACTATAAAATTATAAATTACCATAGAAAAGTCATGTAGAATAATAGCAAGACTAAATGCCTGAAGTCTTCCTTCAAAATAAATTTAAATTCAAAATTTTGTTATCTTTTTTTTTTTTAAACATCTCAAACTAGAGTTTCTGCTTTCACTATGCAAATTTCCTGTCCTGGCAAAATAAAAATTGTCATTTCACTTGCAGGAAATATTTGCTGTAAACTTTGCATGCAAATAATTTTTAATAATAAAAAAACTTCAATTGTGGCTTAAATATTTTATTTATTAAATAAATGAAAATTCCCATGTAATATTAATTTATGATCCACATGAAGCTTCTTACTCTGGCTATTTTAAAATGCTTATTTATGAAAAAATCACAAAATATTTTAGCAGTATTAATAGAGTATAAATCATTAATGAATTTTCTAAAAAACAGTCTACAAATTAATGTTTATTAAAATTAATGTTTATTATAAATTAGATACCCAAAACATAATTCTGTGTATGCATTTGCTTATATATATACTTAAAATGAATTAAATACACAATAATTTAAGCGAAACAATGTCAGTAAAAGTATACATTTTAATATCTAATAGCAATTACCAAATTTTCACATAGCATATTAACTTTAATAAATTCTTAATTAGCAGGATGTCTCAACAAGGCAAATTATGAAAGAAATCTACCTAGTGGAATAGTTGTATCAAGCATATATTTAAAAGAAGCTAATCATGTTTACATTACGCATAGCAGAAACTGAGGCAACTCCATGCAGCTGAACTGTTTTTGAGGAATAGAAGTTATGTCAAAGTACCAGTGCTGAGAGGCTTTAACCATTTGGGGCAAAGGAACTTTTCAGTTTAAAATAGAATACAGAGTTGCCAACTCTCCCGATTTTTGACCGCTCTCCCGCCAACCCGATTTACAATATATTTCTCCCGACTTTTTCTTATTCTTAATATTTCTCACGATTTTTATGGAACTTGGCTTAATACTTCGTTTTATGAACAAAAAAAAAAAAAAAAAAGTGATTTTGGACGTCTGAAAGCAACTGAATTTTCTCTAGATTATATCTAAAATTAAACCTTGCGAATCAGATGAGAATTTCTGCTTTGTGATTGACAGCATACGTATCCAGCAACGTCGTTCTCCAGTTGTCCAATGGGCATCGAGCTCCACTGCGTGTCATCTGGCATATATTAGCCAATGAGCACAAAGCAAGCTCAAGGCCGTTGGTCGTTCTTTGGATGTTCTTTCGCTATTTCGTTTATCTTGTCCTGAGTTGTGTGAGTACACGTGCCTTTAGGAAATAGTTTTAGAAATTATCGTCTTTTGATATGTCTGCGAGAAAGGTGAAATACTCGTGCACGTTTCAAAAATTGTACACAGTTGACTTTCCTTCCATTATTTCTTCAAGGAAATGTAATAAATTTGCGATGTGTACCATCTGTCGTTGCGATTTTTCGATTTCGCTTGGTGGAAGGGCAGATGTTCTCAAACATGTGCGTACACAAAAACACAAGGACAACATGAGTTGTTTTGAAAAAACGAAAAATTAAATTTTTCTTCGGAAACAAAAGACCAAAAAGTGATTAATGCAGAATGTCTGTTCTCTGCCTTTTTACTGGAGCACAACCTGCCACTGAATGCATCGGATCACGCTGAAGCTTTATTTAGAAAAATGTTTCCTGATAGTGAAATCGCTAAGAAATACTCAAGTGCAAGGACCAAAACAGGTGCAGTTGTTAAAGAAATGGGTTTGAAAAATAAATCTTCAGTTATTGATTGCATTAAAACAGCTCCGTTCTGCCTCTCTACGGATGGAAGCAATAATACCAATTCAAAACTGTATCCAATTGTTGTTTCTTTTTTTAATCCAGAGTCTTCAGAAATTGAGTGCAGTTTACTTTCTGACACCACTTTAGAAGGACATTCGACAGGCTTTAATATAGCACAGCTAATTATTAAAACTTTAATATAAAATGCAGTCCCTCTGGATAATTGCTTAGCGCTTTGTGCAGATAATGCACCAGTAATGGTAGGCTTGAAGACTGGTGTTGCAGGCATCTTAAGAAAGGCAAATTCAGATTTTGCAGATTATGAGGTGCACCTGTGTCACCTCTTAAATTTAGCAGCTGAAAAAGGGGCAGCTTCTTTACCATTAAATGTGGATGAACACATTGTTGATATTTATTATTATCTTGAAAGGAGTTCTAAAAGAAAGAAAAAATTGAAACAGTTCCAACAGCTGCATGATACTGAAATGAGAAAAATTTTGATTTTTTTTAATTTCTGCATCATTCAGCAATTCAACTGGCAGTTCTCAAAATAATA